TCCGTCCGGGGGCACCGCTCGTTCCGCGCCCCGTGGCGAGCACTCGGCCGCGTCCCCTCCAGCAGAGCAGCGGCCTCCATCTGCCTCCCCGCCTGGTGTAACCCGCCTCGCGCCAGGGCAGGGGGAAAGCACAGCCCACGGGGGCTGCACATCCACCAGGCATGGATATAAGGTAGGAACGTTTTGGTCAAGGACAAGCCAAGATATTTATTAGATCTGTGAGTATAAAGAGAGTCCTGAGGAGCTACACCAGACTGGAGGACAGGACGTGTACACCAGCTCTCGTGCTGCTCTGCCAGGGCTACGCCCCCAGCTTTGGACATGTTGCTGGGACAAATCCCACTACACAGAGCCACACAGGGCAACGACTGTGGTGGAAAGGGGGACATAACCGAAAACTAAGTCTCCCAGGTCCGACATCTGGCAGGCACTTTGGTGTATCGTGTTGCAGGCCACCATCCCCAAGAGGATCATGTTCCTGGACCTCAAAGCAGTCTGGCTGGTAGAGAACAGGTTGACCCAGCGAGCACATGTCCCAAACCCCTTGGAAGATCCCTTCTGCAGACTTCACACGGCTCTGCACCACACAGGATCTGGAGGTAGTGAAACGAGTCCATAACCAGTGAGAAACTGCACTTTCCACGAGAAGGTCCCAGCTTCTCCTCCATGAGCACCAGAGGTCCCTCTTGCAACCTCTCTTCACCACAACAGGCCGAGACTGACGTAAACCATGTACGGCTGCGCTTTGCTTTTCCTGGCAGGCTTTGGCTTGTGTCTTGGCACAGTTTCTTGGTTCAGGCACTAGAAGCGTGGCGGGTTTTTTCCTTCCAACTGGGGATAAAGCAAATGTGCTATTCCCAGGTGAGAGCATCTGTCACAGTACATCATTAAGTCTACATTTGATAAAATGCTTACTTTTCCCCACACAAATCTCAACTTTAAAATGCAAAAATGTATTCTGTGTTTGAGAAAGACTTAACTTCTCTCTATATAGGAAGAGCACCTGAAACGCCTTTGCTTCCCTTCTCCAATGCCAACCACTATGCCAAGGCAGATCTTTTCGCACAGAGGACATTTTGCCCTGCAGGGAAGAGAATTCCTCGTTGTCCCTCCCTATCAAAATAGTTCAATCCAGGTAAATAAAAAAAATTCTGGAAGGCTTGACATGGACTTTTCATGGAAAATCCCAGCACAGAAGGCCCACAAGGGAAGTTACAGACAAGTGAGTTACAGACCTCACTACAGCAACACTACCACGAGTCGCTGGCCACAGGCTGCTTTAGGCAGCTGTCCCCAGGACACCCGTCAAAGTGCAACATATTCCTCACCAATAATAAACAAGCCTTCTGCATAGGAAAAAAGAGAAATCCAAACACAAAGCAACCACCTCACCCCCCCAAGTCTACAGTACCCCTGGTTTTTGCCTAGCCTTCCTCCTATAACTGGCAGTGGTCACACCTATCAACAGGATAGCCGAATCAGGCAGTGCTACTCGCACTGGTGCATCATTTTATTTATTTTTTACATGCAGGGCCTCCTCTTACTAGGGCTCTGATATATGGCCCTGTCAAATGACAACACCCCAGATCCATACTGGCTGTCTACAGTGCAAATCCGCCAGACATGAATAATTCAACTTCAACTATGGAACGGCTTGTGCCATCTCCATAGTAATAAATGCAGCGACGCCCTTAATGCAGCAGATTATATATAAGCATTCCAAATCTCTTTAGAAGATTAGATTTTATGGGGGTACCAGAACATCAACTAATAAACATGCTGGAAAAATAGCATAGGAGGTGGGGGTGTTATCTTCACATACATCGCTTGGAAACTCTCCCCCACTGCCCAAGCCTGGACACCTTGAGGGGAAAAGCAGCAACAAATTTGGACTGTCCAGACACTTGAAAACGCGTTTAAATAACACAGACCACAGATAACCCTTCACTGGCTGTCACTGAGTTTTTCCTTCTTTGCTCCCAGGTACACCACCCTCTAGTTCCCAAGGGCACTGTTCAGAACACTGTTATTTCTGCTATTTTTTGAAAGCGTGGACCCTGACTATCCTCAGTAGCAATATACATTAGAAAAGCACAGTGCTGAATGACTTAGGGATAAGTCAAGGGATAAGAAATTGCTAAGAAATTACTTCTCATTATTATTTTCCACTCAATTTTCTTGATTCAATATAGTCACCTAATTAAAAAAAAATTAGTTAACATTTCAAATAGTTCAGTCAAAGCCTGGACCAAAAATACTTCATTAGCAGGGCATGAATGTGAATTTTGTTTAAAATAATCCCTGGATGTTTTGATATGCAAAAGGAAGCTACTAGCAGTAGCACCAATTAAAATGACCTTGTCTAGCACATCGATGAGTGCCTGGGAGTCCTAGCATCGGACAGATTTTTTTACCCTGCCAGTAGCTTGCTTAGATAATCTTCTTTATCTAACACAGGATAAACGGGATATTACTGGGGTGTTTTTATGTTTTTTGGTTTTATCCTTTAGGTGGTTATCCCTGCTTTATAGACAGGGAGAGCCAAGACTCCAGTTTTAATTCATGCTAAAGTTCCTCAGTCAAGTCCGTATCCAAACTCGGAAGAGGCCAGCAGTTCCCGGAGCCCAGACCTGGAAGAGCCCCCCGGAGAACTGTGCGCTTCCTTGCTCCAGGCCCCGCGTCCTGCGGGATCCCACCTAGTCTTAGCACAGCTAACAGACTGGTACCCAGTGCTGCGGTTAGAAAATTCAGATCTCCAGAGACAGCAGAGTAAACCACTATAGAGCATATGGAGCTGCTTCCAACCTGAAGTCATGTCATTCTTCTACGTACACAGTACTTTTCAGAAGATGCTACAGTGCAAAGAAGAGATGGATCAAGTATTTAACATGACCATCTTCCCTAATATCTAGTAAGATGCTGTGACTCAGTATGTTACCGTTTGAAAAAGGCACCGCAAATTCAGCCGACAGGGCCAGAATTGTTATTAATCATCAGCATGATAGATTTGTCTCTCTCCTCCAACACCTGTACTGGAAGATGCTGGAGATGTGCAAACTCAAAGGAAGAAACCTAACCAGCCACTTTAAACTCACTCTGCACACTGAACTTTCACCTCTGGCTCTGTCCCTGTCCATCTGTAGAGCCACCTCCCCTCTCGCCCTCCACTGTCCAGACGTCCCCGGCTGTCATCTCCGAGCACTGCAGCAGCCTGGGACCTCCGCAAGCAGGTTGCCTCACTTTCCATTTGTTTTAAATACTGATGCCTGTTCCATCATATAAATACATGTGAAAGAAATATACGTGTGTGCACACCAGGCACCTAGAACCAAAGTACTTCAGGCAATACTCTATATCGGAAAGTTATCGCTAACACAACTACTCATTTTGCAGTTGTGACTGTCACTAGTTACTTCCACTCATACAGCATCTTCAGTCCAACAGACTGAGTCACTCAAGTCATTGCTGAAACACTGTCCCTCCTGGGCTGCAATTATTTAACAGTTAGCCCAGCACGCATGACATACACAAACCAGTTTAAAGCAAACTGGAATGCATTCGGGCAACTGAGCCTTTGACTTCCTATTAAAAGCTAACAATAAAAACTAATCAGATCCCACTTTTCCTATGTTTTTTGCAGCACTGGATCTGCTCAGATTCTCATCAAGTATAATTAAGAGACCTAGCAACTGGTATCAATTCAGTCTGCTCTGCAGAGCTATTGTACCATGCATTCTCTTAGCCCATACAGTACCTACCCCGCAAACTTGGCTGTTATTTCTACACTAGAAATGTAGAAAAAGAAAGGCATGCCACTTGGCTGAAGTAGGACAAGAAAGACTGGGGCTGAGAAGGAAAAATTACAGAGAAACAGCAGAGCAGAATCTGGCAGACTTGAAGCACAGAAGGGAACCTCAGAGAAATTTTTTAACCCAGAGAGGAAACATGTCCTAACAGCTAATTACTATCCAGGTCCTTAGATTACCTGGAGGATTTCAAGCCCATAAATAAAGGAGTTCTTTTCCAAGGATGAAAGGGCACTGTCACTTCCTAGTTACTCCCCCACTTGGCATAACAAATAAGATGAGAGGATCAGGAAGTACAGGCAGAGAAAACAGTTCTCTGGGTACAAAGCTGAATCCTTCTCCATAAGGCTGGGGGATAACATACCTCCTTCTGCAAGACATGCTCCAGGAGGTTTGCATGGACATGGTTGATGTCACGTCCAAAGAGAGTACACCAGTTCCCTGCTGTACTATTTTGGGATCCAGTTCAGTACAGGAAAACACACACCCAGACAAACAACTGTTAACAGCCTCAGTACCTTGGTATTGACCTGGACCAGCTCTATTCACCTGCAAGCATATGACTGGAGATACCCACTGCTGCATTAGTATACCTTTGTTACTAACAGGCAGTAAGAGAACTAAAACACTCTTTTGTTTGACTTGAAAACATTCTATTTAATTTATACAAATAACTACTAAATAGAAAAAGTAGATTAAAACAAAATAGTTATTTTTCTGGCAGAGTTTAAATGCATATTATATAGCTTAGAAGAAATAAAATGCATTTTCCCCACAGCATTCATGACCTAAAATTCTAGTTAATTCCTCCATTGCCTTCCTTTTCTAGATCAGTAAGATACTAGACACAATGTCATGTGGGTAATGGCTATATATATGTTCTGTATTCGAACTGAAAATATGTTACAGACCACACACCTACAAATGTGAAGCACTTAAAATGTGACTATCGAGTTGTAATATGATAATACAGAAAACAATTTATGTTTCAGGTTATATTGTGTTACAAAAACATCTGTGTAAGAAATCATGAAAGAGGCCACATAAAAATAAGCTTTAACTTTATGCACTTATTTTACAGTTTAAAAAACTGGCAAGTGCACTAGTAATAAATAATTTGCAAGTTTTGTATAAACGAGAAATTCCTAGTGTTCAGCATTATTGTAAACATCAGTACACATGTAAAATGCAGCTAAAATCTGACAGTTACATTTTCAGTTTACCAAATTCATTTCCTATTATTCAGGCATAGATCAATGTAGTATACAGCCAATCATATTTTTGGCAAGTCATGTCATTAAAATTAACAGTGACAGTGCAAGTAAGGAATGCAAAGAATTCCTAGTGCAATAAAGAAGAGAAGCACAGGCAATATTGCTGATTAAAATTTACCACTTCCATGTGTTCACCCTGGGAGTGATTAGGAGAATTAAAAAAAAAACAAAACAAAAAAAAAAAAGAAAAAAGCTGTTCAAAGCCATTATTTAATGCCCTGATCTTGTCTTAGGATTTCTCTGTCTTCCTTCAGGCCACTACCTTTGCAACAGTACATCCAGCGTGAGTCCTTATAGCTTGACCATTTGTGAAATGCCCATTGTAGTCACTGAGCAAAGTCCATATGGTTCCGATGTCTCCCAAACAGATGGCTTGATAAGAACTTCTGCCTCTATAAGTAGCCACATGGGGACCAATCGTATAAACTGTCTGGCCAGACTACTTCTGAACCAGACAAATGCCTTCCTATCAGGAGAGCACCACGAGAAGAAGGTCAACAGTCAGCTTTCAGTTTATCTAAGGAATTATCAATTTTGGTCAAAGTCTTTTTGATTCGCAGGGCTGTTAGTCTCGCTGATGGATTTTGATACCAGCATTCTTTCATCAACTTGGCAAGAGACGTTAATGTCTGGGAAAAGAATAAAAAACAAAACACGCATGTAAGTACACCAATCACAAGCCAAGAAAGCACTAGATTGGGTTAAGCACTAATACAGTAAGGTTTTATTGCCTTATTAATACTCAATTTTCAGAGTCTACAGAGAGTTTACTGCTATCTATCAAATACACAGTTTTCATGTGTTGAAAAAACCCCCAGGTTTGATAAATCGGGTTAAACCAAGAGAATAACTAGGCAATGGGCTGACTGGAGTGACAAGCTAGTGTAATTTTAAACAATGGAGTTCTGTTAGTTTTATTTTTTTTTCTAATTAAGAAAACACTCTACAGCAGCTTTAAATGGCTGGGATTCACAGCTGGCTGGTGCAGCAGCACGGGTCACGGCTCTACAACCAAAAGCTTATAGATGGGACCTCTTGTCCTTGCTGGCCCTAGCCAGCCATACAGATTCAAACCGACCTCCGCAGCTTCAGTAATAAGGAACAAAACAGCTGGTCAACCTGGAGAGTCCAGACTGATTCTGATGAAGAAAAATAAACTTCAGCACTAGCCTTTCAAAAAGAACAACAGTCCCTTATCCTGCAGGCAGGGCAGGAGAGACACCAAAATTCTGTTCTAAATCTGCGTGCTTATAAGCCACAGAAAGGCCTACACAGGCTACCTTGCCCTTGAAGAAATTTCCCGTTGGAGAGAGAATAACATAGGAAGAGCAGCTTTAAAACAGTTATTGTTAGATCATGCTACTAAAAGGCTAATGTGTAACAGCTCAGACTTAACAGTCCTAAGTTTGCTTATTGCGTTTTCTTCCTGCTCCAAGATAAAGGTCCACGCCAGCATGCTTCTGAAATCTGTACAGGTAATGCTCCTGACAAATAGCATTGAGATCATTTCAATCTCAAGTGATAAGTGAAAATAACTTTCATGACTATTTCAAAAGAAGAAAGGTCAGCTCGTATCTTCTGCAAACCACCCACAGGCACACCCACTTACAGGGTCTGAGAACCATCTGTTGGGAATGTTCGGCCTTTGCTGATCTACGCAGACCACTTTTCTCATGTCTTCAAAACTGGGATCGTTTGGAACCAAGTCATAAAATGGTGGTTTATAGTCTTCCACAATACCTAGTGAGACACAAACAAGAGGCATTATTTAATGACTGTGTCAGTGAAACAGCATTTCTGCACAGAAGAACAGATGACCTAGCCATCTAAGAAGCACAAAAATCTTTTAAGAGTTAACACTACAGTGTCAAGCAGCCATTAAACAACAGAATAGCACTTCCTATCATAGGAACAGCTTTTTCTACCCAAAATATTAATTAATTGGCTCATATTACAATTCCACAAAGTAAGAACTATATCCATTTTGCAGATGCTTGAGCTGAGATGGCGAGAAATAAATTCACAAAAAAGCCATCTTTTATAATGCATGGAGGTTTACTGACTACCACAAAACTGTTAGTTTACTGACTACCACAAAACTGGGATTTCTACTAGCAAATGTAAAAAATTTAAGGACTGCATTGTGGGTTTTAACAAGCTTACCACACACTTTGCATGGTTTTATGATTCCTGAAAGAGTCCAATAAGCATGTCAGCATCTACAGACCCTCACACTGGTGCTTCAAGTCATTTTATTTCTTGTTATTAAAATGGTAAAATACCTCGGGTAATTGGCACCACATGCCATCACAAAGCCAAACACATGAGAGCCTGTGGCACCCGGTGTCTGAACGCCTTTTCTAGGATTCTGCGTTGAAAAATGAGTTTATGTGTGTGCTCTCACAACTTGTCACCCAGCTTTCATAAAACTGGCAGGCTGTAAAGCCTTTTGCCTACTCTCTAAGGCATGCATGCAGCACTACTGTTTCGTCAGTGGATTAAGCTCACAAATGATCTATAGGGAACTCAACTTTCTTAGGAAGCCAATTTAAAAACTGGTGTTCAAAAGACAGGCATTTGGGTCAGCAGCTTGGAAAAACACTGAGTGAATAAGGCCCTCTATGTATAGCAGAAACATGGGCAGAACAATCGTAAAACTGCTTTTTAGCAGACTGGCAGCTGTCCCAAAGTCAGATGTACATGAAATCCAGGAGAATTTCTGTTGCTTTGGATATCCTGAAGTTGAAAAGAGGTTCTCAAACTTTGCTACAGTGGTTGGGATTTAGTTTTCTTGTTCTATTGGAGATGAAGATCAAAATCCCATAGATCCCCTGTAAAAATCTGTAAATCCCTATCTGTGATGACTAGTTGAAAAGGGAAATGGTCTTCAGGAAATTACAGCTCCCTTAGAAAATGGCAGGACAGTTCAAAGGTCTGGCTACTCAAGCGAGTTACCATAACAAAGTAACTAGCAGGCTGCAGGGTTTCCCCTATGATATTCTGACATGGGTGCAGAAGGACAGACTATATTACGTGCTGCATAAAGAAGCATCACCCACCCTCCTCCTTCGAGCAATTCACAATTGCATATACCAAACATCACCTACAGGGCTGAACTCTTATTTTTACACTCTTCCTGCTTCCTCACAGAACACAGAATAAAGTTTATTGTGAGAACTCAAGAATACAAAAAACTTCTTGTGTACCCACATTGTCTATACTTCCATTTCAAAGTAGTGGCTTTATATGAGTCAAATGCAGAACTTCAGAGCTACATCATATAGCTCTGAAAATGCTTCCAGGGTCATTAGGATATTACAGATGAACTTTGTCACTGAAAGAGAATCTGGCTCTAATTTACTATTTTCATATGGTCTTTCCAAAGTATAGGGTATATAGCTGGCTATTTCAGATAAGACATGGTAATAGATATGAAATGAAGTGGGTCTAGCCTTTACTCCAATAGAGTGATTCTAGAGTACTCTATCTACCACAGCCAAACGTCACAGACCTCATGGGACCACCCCTGGCTCCGCAGCAGCCCGTCAGCGGTGCCAGCGAGCCACTGCAACCTCTAGCCCACACCGCTCCGCTCGCAGAACTGTCACTGAACTGTGACACGCTTCCCTCGCCCACTGCCCCGGGAAAGCGAGCCAGCCGCTCGCTACGAGGGAGACCCGAGACTCGTTCAGCACGACCTACAGCTTGCCGCTTTCTGGACAGTTTTAAGATGACTTCTCTCATTTACAATATATTGTATCTTTTTCCCCTGGGGCTGCTGGCTTTTTGCTACTCAAATCAACTAAAACTCACACACAGAGTAGCATTTTCTGCACCTTTATTCCTCGTTACTTTAACGTCAGCTTGTCCTATGCATGCACGAATCTAACTGCTGGAGCAAAGCAAGATCTACACGAACACCTAAGCAACAGACACAGCCTTGCAGAGGTAACAACGATCACACGCCAGGCGCGGCTTTGAGCAGTAACCATCTCTCAGCTTCTGGTGTTACTATTAAAACTGAACAAGATCACAGCGCTGGGAATGATAGTGAAGATTCACAAGGAACAGAACTGTAAGTGCCAGGTACCAGGTAAGGAAAGATGCAAGGCACTGTACTCTAGGAAGGGAGCACATTCAAAAGCAGCGAACGACCGCTCTACAAGGAACAAGCACTGGTCTATTTAAAGAGAGTAAAATACTGATTTGGGGGCTTAAATTGCACTTTTCAAGTACAGAGAGAAATGCCGAGTGGCTCCTGCTACAGCACAAAGGCGATACACAAGTACTCTTGGTTGTGGCGAGGGAGTTTCCTACCACATTTTCCTCCTTATACTAAGCCACACAGAAAAGTACTGAGAATCACTGTGTCACCTTGAGGACCATTAGATAAGTTTAAAAAAAAAAAAAAGTAAAAATAAACATTAAAAGTACAAAACTTTAAAAATAAAATTTTAAAATTTTTTAAAATATCAGACTTCCTAGTCAGATTACAACAACTTCAGAGTCTCCACAAACCGAAGTACTAAACCAGGCTGACTCACTGGAATAGACTCTGCATTTCCACCCAGCAGATGAGAGATGACAAGTGTCCATCAGCATGGGATAGCAGCAAAAATTTCTAGCACACATAACTTACAAGTGCCCCTCGCCCACCTAAGATACACCATCACCCAGTTCACACGAGCATGCTACCTTGACCTCAGCATGCTCATTCCCAGTGTCTTACTACAAATCAAACGGGGTTATCTGAGTGACCACCTGGTGAAGGAATGATTTCCACACAGCTAAACACTTGGATTTGAGAGAAGATGTTTACTCCATTTCGAACCAGTACAAGGAAATGTAATTACCTACAGCAACAGCCAGAAATACTGAGCAACTGGAAATAAGTACTGTGGAATTAGTATCACCGTCGTCTTAAACTTAAGACTTTATTGACACGACCAATGTCATGACGTATCTCTATTACTGGGAAAAGTGCTTCCACGGTGGCACTGAGCTCAGCCTGAATCAAATTACTGAAGCATTTACCTATCGTCTTTGGTAGGTCTGCAGTCCACGCTGAGTTCCATACCATCTTGGTGAAGCTGCCAGCACAACCTAAGCTCACTAGTATAAAAGTAGCTCAGGTAAGTTGTCTGTGAACTGTAGTTACTGCAGCAATACATATATACAAAAACTTCAGCACGGGAATATTTAAATAATAGGTACTATTTCACGGAATTTTCATTGCAAGAGGTAACTAGGTAAGACTGTGTGTATTTTTATGTATATTATTACAGTATATACACACATATATAAGTATAAACGTATATTCATGTACAAAGAGAGCAAGACATCTAATATTCCACATAGGATTACCAGCCTCCAAAACACCACTGTGGCAAGACAGATTCCAGATGAACTACTCAAAATTCAAGACTGGCAATAAAAACAAACTTATCAAAAGCTTACACGTGAAGTTTCATCATCACGTAGGCCAAATGCTATGTTCAAACAGATAATACTCTACACGCTACCTACGTGTAAGCACGCACCCCTGTAAGCGCTGCTGGTCCCGCCACCCACAGCTACGAGCACGGTCCCTCCGCAGGCAGCGCAGAGGAAGACCGACTGCCTCTTCTCATGCGTTGGCTTCCCTTCCCATCGCAGCGAGCATCACCTATTGCACAGTGAATTAATCAACCCCTGCCCAGCAAGCCCATCATATCATGGCAACTGGTAAACTCACAGATTGCTGAGACAAAGTGCAGAATATAAAACTGAACTGAAAACAATGAAGTTACAGCTTAAATTCTCAAGGCACTCACACTGACGTGAACTGCAACCCAGAGGTCTCCAAATATTGGGAAATGCAATGAGCAAGTCTTCATAACTGCCTACAACATACATTTGCCAATAAACAGAGTACATCATAAGAAAAATTAACACCATGCATTCACAAGACTTTCCTCCTTTCTCTAATTAACCACATACACTTTCACCTGAGATCATCATCACATTTTGTGATCATAAATATGTTCAGCTGACATATGTTCTTGTATCAGAACAATACCTATTCCTTTTGCTGCATACGTCTTCAAGTAACTCCCCTGACAGAGAAGGGAGAAGGAAGGCGAGGTCAGGAGCTCAGCTCTGGCCACCCTGCGGAACGCCTATGGAAGTTCCCTTCCGCTCCTGCAGTCAGTCCCGTGACTGCCGACAGCTTACAGCAGGACAGGAGCTGCTCACTATGGACCCTGCAAGTTAAATTGCACCAAAACAGCTGCCCACCCGCACAGATTACCCTGCTCTCTTGATCACAGAGAAATGACCATTTTGGTTCTCTTCAGAGCTATCAAAGCAAGCTCTCAGACTTACAAGGAGACTTAAATTAGCCACCTGAGCCTACCTGATGCATTTTGCTACCTCCAAGTCAGCTTTGTTTAAGCACCCTGTAAGTATCCTAGAGAAGACAGGGGCTTTGGACAGTGCTCCAGGCCCCTCTCACAGCAAGCTTGGGAGGTCTGCGAATCTTCTCAGAAATGCAACCTTCCAGCAGCCTTCTCCTAACAAAGCCTCACTGCAGTGTTTCTGGAGACAACTAGCTGCCTGTGGCTGCTGTGCTGAGAATTACCTGAACAAGGGAACAATACCTTTTTTTTTCCCCCTCACAGTTAAATTATTTTGGCCACCAACAGATAACATATGAAGTAAAAGGTTCATATTTAGAAGTCCTGTACTTTAATAGAATAACAATATTTGTTTGCTTCTAGAGCTGCTGCACGTTCGCCTGTCCTCTGTCCCCACCTCCCGTAGTCCAGTATGACACCATTTGGACAGGTCAGGGAATGGAGGGAGATAATGCATGAGAAACATGCATGAGTACCTTAACTTCCACTAAAATTTGAGCCAGGCTTTTTTACTCTGTACTAGCTACCACAAGCCTTCACTGTCATACCCTACTGCAGCCTACCTCTGTGCACTCACTGCTCCTCTCTCCACAAAACCACTCATACTCGCTCCTTTGGCTCTCAACAGCTGCTTTTTGAGAAGATCTCTAAAGCTATCTTAATCCTTTCCTCCGAAGATTTCCCTCAAATTCTGACTTGCAATAGTTCCCACCAAAAAAAAGCCCTCAATTCTTCAGTTCGAGCCACTCTGACTACTGCCTATCGTTCTGACCATGCCTCCTTCGAACAAGTTCATACTTGGATCCTGAGCTGGCAGGCACCCCAGCTGGCACCAGCCCTACCTGCCCTGCGGGGTTCCAGCCTACCATCAGGGCTCAGAGGTACTGCAGCAAACAAACGACTAGTCATCTTCTCCTGAAGGAGATAAACCCGTTGCGTGATGTCAGTTACAGAACCCCAGATTTGGATTTAGTGGGAATAGATAAGACAGACACAGAGCAAATAGACGCGTATGACGATTCAGAATTTCCTCAGATTTAAACGTGTCGCCGTTAACTATCCATCATTGCCAGTGTCTGCAGACATGCCTGAAGGGCATCTTCTGCGTTCTCCCATCCCCTTGGGTCCAGAGAGCACAATCTGAGGTCCAGAGGTCAGAGAGGACTTCTGACTTGACAAGCACAAGAAATCACACCAACAGATACCCAGCTTAAAGGTTCTTAAATTCAGACTCCCTTGCCAAGGAAACACAAAGCAACACTGTGCGCTACAAAACAGGATTGCAGTGGCACTTTTCCCAAGCAGAACTGTACTTTGACCAAGTCCTGCTTTGTGAGTGCATTTAACCTGGTAAAGCAAGAGCATGCCTGAACTCTGATCACTTCACTTCCTACATGTTTTCCTTTTGTTCCTTAGGTTTTGTCACAAGAAACAGCCACCTAAATGTATTCACTATAGTTTAATGACACTTGGAAAAAGTTTAGAGACTTTATGATCTAAAATTTTAACTTAACTGACTATTTGGTATGAATTATTTCTCAACGCAATTTAGGATGTAGCAGGGGACCCTCTTTCTTCCCTACCTTAACAGAAATGACAATACTCAACCATTGTACCCAACATACCAACAACTTCAACACAGGCAGCAATGTGTCAGGAATCAAAACACTCTGGAGGTCCAGTATTTTACTATGCATCCTACGCATTTTGGTGGCAGATGCTTTGCCATGAATTACCATTTGCTTACCAAATAAATAAAGCAGTCCCAAATACTTACCGTTGCTAACCATGCGTCTAGCTACTTCCCAAAGGACCAGCCCAAAAGCCCAGATATCGACCCTTTTATACGAGTCAAAGCAGTCTGCCTGTATAGTTTCGTCCAAGACTTCTGGAGCCATGTAGCGTTTGGTACCCACACGGGGATTGTTCCCCACATCCAACTGATTCGTGCTTTGGGAGTGCATTACTGCAAGGCCTGAAGGACAGAAAAAAAAAATCACTTTTAAGTCCCCTTTAAAACTATAGCAGCATATGTTTAAAATTACATGTGAGCAGTGACACCCATCAGACAGTTTCTTAAAAAGAAGGAGCGGAGAGTCCAACTGTCCAAAGACCAACTGGGTCAGCTCCAAACTAGCTATCAAAAACAGCCACTGTGTCCATAGACTTAGACCAACTATCTCCTCAGGGATTACCATTAAGCATGTTATTGCACTGTTGCAAAATGTTGTCATTGAGTGTTTTGCAGCCACTGGATGTCACCAGCACTCTAGACACGTACACACAGAAGGCCAAGCATCTGTTACTTAGAAGAAAACAATTTTACACAGCATTCAAATTTATTTATAGAACTTTTGGGTAGGTGGATATATCCGAACTGTGGGGAAGAGAGAAGAAAAACACTGCAGGATGGATATACACAAGTTAAAAAAATAAAGCTGGAAAATAAAAAACACCGTATTTGCAGTAGCTTGAAAAATAAACATCCTGAAGCTGATCTAAAATGAGTCAGTCAAAACCACTCTACCTGGTTTCTACTAATTACTAAACATTTAAGCAAAGAACATTATGTGAGGCACTAAATTACTGTAAATTTGGAAACACACAGAGTACTCATTTTGCCATGGTAAACAGAGAGCACTGCAAATTGAACAGCAACAGGTGCATGACATAACTAAGCAATAGAAAAGACAACACAAACTCTCCCTAATTTCCTCAACAACTCCTGTAAGAATAACATATACTATTTATATTTAACATCAGTTTATTTTAGATTAAATTTAAAAAGCTTTTTAACTCAGTCCCACAAAAAATTAACCTATCACCAGATCATTAATTTTTTTTTCATTCCAAAAAAGAGGCTGTACTTCACCACCACAAAAATTTGGAAAACACTTTCCTACAATTTAGATGCACTTCAAGTAATTTCAAGCTGCTAAGAAAATGCTTATGGCACCTCTAGAAAGATACCATCTACTAACCCCATGACTGCTGAGAAGATAACTTGAAAAGCCTGCTCTCCAGATAAAAATATTTTTTGTCACATATATACACACACACACAGAGGACATATATTTACATGCACACTTATACGTTTATGTGTTTGTTTATATTTATATTAATTTATATTATACAATACGTATGCAGTATAATATTAAAAAAACTTGCACATTGGAAACAAAGGTTAGAAAACAAATTTCCTGGCAAACTCTGAAGACGTCAAGACTTTGGAGAACACTTTGATAAAAATCGTAATACTCCATCCAAATTGGGCAAAACAGATTCAATAGATTGACAGGTCAAAGGTTTAAGGCTGAGGGATGCAAGTCAGCATCCCGCACACTACAAACTAAGAAAGTGTTGCAATAAGGTCAGGGGACAACAATGTTGTAATCAGGTTCTCATCATGGTGGCATCTGTGCTGTTTATGAGAGTTAGGAAGCAGATATTGCACTGCTTCAGTTGCTTTTCACCTCAGGAGATCTCAATGCACATTTAACTTAAGGGCGCTTGTCAGAGAAGCTCTTACTGTAAGATACTAATTTTTTAAAAAAACAAAAAAAAAGCTTGACAGGAATACAAACTGATGAAACACATTGGTTTTCAAGACACCAAAAAATCCTCTTTAGTATACTGGCATATCTGCTAGAAACAAAAATTGAGCAAATATGTTTTGTTAGCATTCTTTGCACCTTCCTTACAAATACCAGTGTTTGTTTCAAATGGACATTCACCATTCTATATGGACAGGCAAGGGGAAGGAGGGAGTAAGAGGAGGCTTGGGCTTTTTCTTCTTTTTGTATAAGCATTATTCTGCTGTTCTATAAAGTTGCTCAACTAAGACCTATTACCATGCACGTGAATTGCTTTAGAAATAGAGGGGCAGAACTTTTCCACAGTGCTGACAGATTGAAGCGAGACTGACGTCCATCCTTGGACTTTATCACACAGTTTCTGCTTAGCTAGAACATATTTGAAACAGCCAGTTTTGTAACTGCAACTCTGGATATTTGGGTTGCTGTTCAAGACACCAGTTTCCAGCATGCTTGCTGAAGAACAAGCAGCCAATTCACAAAGTTCTTGCATTTGTTCTAGCCCGAAGGACTAGGATTGAATGGCAACAAACACCAAGCTACACTGCAGTTCAGGCGTGCGGCACCCAGGCTGCCAGAAAAACAATTACAAGATACACATCAAAGCAATTTTACTCCTCTCTGTTTTTAGAGCTGACACCTATTCTTAGCAGGTACATTGCAAGTCCAGAACCTGGTGTGACCAACAGAACCCAAGTCCAGCTTAGCTCTGGGCAACTGGAGTGAATCTTTCCATCTGCTCATACTTACCAGTCTCTAAGTGCCATTTTTCTTGTATGGTGCATGTGTTGAAACAGAGAAGGAGACCAGAGGAGAAAAAAAAGACAAAGCTATACAGAAAAAAAGGGCATGAATATATGGCAGAAGCCACAAATTCTTTGGTAACTCTCCTTTACAAATAAGGTACGAACAAAGAACATGTCAGATACATGTCTGAAGATTTCACGTTTTAAAAAACAGCTATTTTACCACCACAAAAACTAACTGGGAAACGTTTATTGCTGTGCTCTCTCAGAAAAATCTCTCAAATATCTGAAGCCTCTAGATAAATAATGTAGTAGATTTCACTTTATTAGTGTGATGTCAATCAATGCCAGTATGTGCTGCCCCCTCCTCAGTGTGAACTACAAATGCATTTAAAAGCCAATCTCTGAAGTTTTGTATTTTCAACTTACTGCTTACTTACTATTCCCTCTGCAAATTTAGATAGGCCCAGGTGTGTGGCTTTCATGTTTTCCCTGTGTGTATTTCATGTCCCTCAGGCAAAAGTGATAGGAACTATGCAGTGGAATTATTATTGGGAAAAAAAAAAATCCCATCTCCCAATACACTTTTTGTCTAGCCAATGACTCCCCAATATTACTGTTCTATCACTATTTTCTCCCTTATCTTCAGAGAAAAGAAGAAAAATATATTGTCAGACATACCCCTGAGGTATGAACAAGCCATACTGCTGCAACTGTGTCTCAGCATCCTAGCGGCTTAAAGTCTAAAGCCAGTTGGTCACAGAGAATCCGATTTCAGGCTCACTGAATTATCTGGCAAAAGACTCAAGCTGGATGGACCTATGGAGCCTGGGACAGTGAGCGCATAGTTCTTAGACTGTAAGTGGAAGGACATTCATTAGTTCAGAAATGAGCTGAAGCCTAATAACTGCTGCCGTCTGGGATCCATGAATGGAATTTAACAACGAAAACCCAAGAAAAAGTCCAAAATGTTAGATCTGCTCCTGAACTCAGAGGCTACACTGGGCCTCCTCAGCAGCGGAGTGGCATTTTTAAGTTGTAAGTGCCATCTAGTGGTTGTCGTAAACCTTCAGGGTAATACCAGATGACGGTAAGGTTATTTTAAGGTTACCTTAAGACTTCTACTGTTGACGTTATCCAATATATTTGATTTCTGCAGGAAGTATATTAGCATCGAAATGAACTCACCTAAATCCGCTATGCAGCACTGTCCATTTTTCTTAACGAGGATATTTTTGCTCTTCAAGTCCCGATGAGAAATGGCAGGCTTCCCCTGGGTTCCAAATATCTCTATGTGCAAATGTGCAAGACCACTAGCTATGGACAGTACTATGCGTAGGCAGCTGACAGTGTCCAGGGTAGTGAGCTGTAGATAGTCATACAGAGACCCCATTTCATGGTAGTGGGTAATTAACCACAACTGGGTACTGGAGTTTCTGGAAGTCATATCAGATGCAATAAAACCTAGAAAGAGAAGAAGAAAAAAGGAGAAACAACAAAATAAAGTGATAGAGCTCCTTCAAGACTCCCCCAAGACTGTACTGCACTGAAAACAGACTGCAGGTATTACCATAATGAAAAAAGAGCTGACATATTCTGGAACTCTAACTCAAATCTACTCACAAGAATGTATTTATGTATCTTGTCAGTCACACCAAACACAACTACTTGGTTAGGACTACTTTCCTTCTTTTTGAAGGACTTGTGGGTGGGGAAGTTTCCAGTTAAACAAGAAGACCACCAGGTTGTAACACATCTGCTGCTGTCCACTCAACAGTATTACACTGGAGAGAAGCAATACCTCAAACAGACAAGTCACAAGTAATCATTTCCATTTTTAAGGACAACAAGCAGGCAGTGCAGGCTGCTGAGAAAAGGGTTAATCATGTTTCACATACAAATCACATCCCGACAAACAGACCCTGTATGTTGTGCCAGCTTCACATTTACATCCAAGGTAAGTCTATTTGGAGCACTTCAACAATCAACCTTGACATGTCAAAAGCTTGCTGTCCCCACAGGAAACGTCACACCCTTCTGACCAAACATAGATTGAAAAAAGCACATCTCACCACAGCAACAACTTGCTCTCCAATGATCTCCAATTACTTAAAAGGCTGCAGGGGAATTGCTGCAACCTGATAAATTATCCGATCTCTGGGACTGCTCTGAACTGCTGTAGGCTCCAAATGCCTGATGTTCTTAACTGTACATCAGCTCACAACGGAGCCACGGGATATAAAAAGTGGCAGATGGCTAAGGAGAGTGTGGCAGCACCAGAAGATTAGCGTACCAAGAACTAAAGAATAGTAATTCTTCTACTTTAAATACTAGACAGTTCCAATGGTGTGCAACTTGCTTCCATGGTAAAGTAAGGCAGAGCACCTTTATGCATCATAGCTGTATTTCACAATGATTTTCTACAAAGGAACAGAGAAAAATTTCTCTTTGAAACTCATGAAGCTCAAGAACTGCTTTCAGAAATGTGGTATCTTAAAACTGAACCCAAAATTCACGAGTAGGTTCCTTCCTGTTACCTCTGAAATTATTGTGTATCAGCACACTGTTGACCTCAATAGCTTTAGCTGGGAAGCAACAAAAGCTTTATTCCCAAGTTATAGGAACAAATCATGTTTATTAAAAGCCCACATATGACATTTGTGAGAAAGAACACCCGCTACTTTCTCTCCTGAAGTCAGATTTCTGCACAATGTGACACTTTTGTAATCTGTGATATTGTTTAATATCACATGTAAAAAAATTCTATAAAATAGCCAACAAATTTGACAGTTATCAAGAAAGACTAAACAAACAGAGGAACATGGGAAATGTGTAATGTAATTTCAGCCAAGTCACTTGCTCTCTCGGGAAGGAAAGTTCAATAATTCACATTTCAGGAGGCCACCAAATTCTTTTTGTAGTAACAAAGGAACTGCTTCAGGGAACACTAGACAAACATCTAGCAGGGTGAGCTATAGAGCCAAGGAATATTCTCTGACAGGAAACAAGAATAAGGAGCCCGAGTAAAACTGATTGAAGACAGACAGATTGTGGGTGAGGTAACGTCAGCACACAGAAAACATGCTGCTGCTTTTATTTGTAAAGGTGGCACACCAGTGAAAGAAGGTCATGTCTACTAGGAATCAAAAGGGCTGCTTAAACTTCAGCCATGGCTCACAACACAAAAAAGCCATTTTCTAAGCTCTCAGAACTGAGCACACAAGGTACAAGGGATGCAGAAGATTCAAAATCATCGTACTTTCATATTCACAGGGAAATGAGATAAAGGGGCAACTATAGTTGAAGTTTAAACACCAAAGGAGCTTAGTTTGACCCTGAGCAGAACAGTTAAACAGAAGAAAATAATGGATTCATACTGCAGTTTATTCCGGCACAAGGAAAAGTGTTCAAATATTTAAACTTCATTATAAACTCCTCCCCACTTTGTCGCCCTTTATTTCTCCCAGGTAAACCAAAGTTATAAAAAAACCTAGGCCCACTAGAACTTCTCCACCTAACACACACCGCAATACTCTTTTGCCATTTGGCTGCCCTGCAACATGAGCTGCAAGGCTGAATTCTTAGCATGCAGGTCTGTGGCACCTCCATTCTTCTCTACACACTGTGCTGCCAACAATTGATTAATCTGGTTGACTGCTTCTTGCTAGAATATTTCTGCAGGAGCACAATGATTCATGGTTGCTACGACAATTTCTCCAGTTGAGACTCAGACTTCAGCACTCTCCTGCAAGTCTCCCCCTTAAAATTTCCTTTCAACTATTTATCGCAAACACATGAACCTAATCTCAAAGATTGCAAGATATCCAGCAAACTTGCAGTGCTTTGCAAGTGAACTGTTCAGTTAATTCACCTTTACACCAGCTATGCTAGGAAATATGAACACGGTTGTTCTACTTACCTAAAATATTTTCATGCCGCAGCAATACAGTGTTGTACAATTCAGTTTCCCTGAACCAGGATTTTTCATCCCTAGAAGAGAAGATCTTCACAGCAACATTTTCTCCTTGCCACTGACCCCTCCAAACTTCTCCATAACGGCCCTTTCCTGGTGGGGGAAAAAGCACAGTAAAAATTGTCAACTAACAACCTTCATAGGGCAGAAGGACCGGAGCAGCTAATAGGATGGAAACTCAACAGTTATGGCCCAAATATCACACTGATGTAGTTTGATCACACCTGCATACACTTTTTACCACTTTTACAGTCACGCTGTGCTCCACTGTTCCTTAATTTTTCCTGTTTGTTTCAACTGCAAGCTCTGAGAGTATGGATCTCTCCTCCTTGCACATTGGTACAGTATACAGAATGTACTGGGCAGGTGTAATTATTCAACTACCAATGCTTTTGCAGCTTAAGCAACTTAGGCAACATACTTCAAGGTCAGTGTACACAATACAAATAAATCTATGAATTCTGAAGTTAGGAGGACGGGAAGGATATATAATGCTGGGGATACAGCCCTTACGTTTCTATTAGATCATCAGCCCTTGCAAAAAGCAATTGGCACAGCCAGACACACAAAATGCAGAATGACAACACGAAAAAACCCCACCAAAACACCCACCCACAAACAAAAAAGGATAAAGAAAAACACACAAAAAACCAAACCCCCAAAACCCCACCCCTGTTCTGTGGAGATCAGGGCACACTTGTCTGCATGCCAAGCTTTTTACCCAAACAGCTTAGAAGCACGTATGAAATTACCAACTGCCCAACGGCAAAGCAATACCCTGGACAAGGCACACTGGAAAAGTTCTGATCGTTGCCATTTTCATTGCAGCCTGAATACGATAGCCTCGGGCTTGTGCAATGAATTGTGCTAGATCTGACAACCATGGATATCCAAATTCTGGCCTTTGTTGCTCTGCCGTTCAGTGTTCTTTAGAGGCACGTATGAATCAGCAGCAGGTATAGCCCAATAATGGGGGCTATACTGATGCCTCAATGCTGTCACCCAGAAGAGACTTCCTGCACAAGCACTTTCATCTGGTTCTGCTACACAGACTAAAAGACATGGTCTCTGGAAATAGTGCCAGCCTGAGTTAACTTGGCAGCAGGCATAATTCCAGAGACACACTTATTCCCACATATATACATGCACAAAAAGATATGTCTATATTGCAGGCAAAATCATCATGCATATCATTCTACAGCTTCTGATGAAGAGAAATTGCAGAGCATCAGTGGACGTACGCTTGGATTTAATACAAATGTGAACATTTGTGCCTACTCAATACATACTATAAGCCAGAAGCAAAGAAACACTGGTAAAACGTAAGCCCAGTCCCTACAGATTCAGATTCATCTGTTTTAGTCTGGGGCTTCATGTAACACCCTGATGAGTTAAAACTTCTCGTGACTTATAAGAAGGCGTTAACCCGATCCGAGTTCGCATCACTGAAGCGGCAGTATAAAACATATTTTTAAAAGTCTTTTTTTTTTTTCCTAATAGAATCAATCATTATCATGCCTTCCTCACCTCTGTAGTGCCAGTATGGCATCTTGGCTCAATGTCTCTGCCTCAGGATAACTTTGACCCAAATGCTTCCTAAAATTACTAAATTCAAAATTAACACTATTCAATTAATAATGTATATACATGCTGAAGAAAAATTTAATGGATCCTTAAAATTAACACTAAAGTCCTGAAAAAAAACTAGAGACCCAGAAGAGTTTTAGGGAAGAATTACTAAAGAGATTCTCTCTTTTAGGGGGAAAAGAACAGCAACAGTACATCATTGCCTGCACGGTCCCAAAGCAACAGTGCAGAGCAAGTAAGCTACAAAACATTCGTGTTACCATTCTAATGGCACAGAATCACATTTCTTTTTTAAATGCCACTTTAGCCACTTTGCTTGATGTTTCAACTCCAGATCTCAATTCCAGATGATCCTTTTCTAATTCTAAAGCTCTCTAATTGAACACCATTTAATGAACAAATGTTTGTTTCACAGTTTGACTGTTTCAACTTCAAATTGAGTTGCTTTTCTAAAAACATAATTTATTTCACTTACAAAGTACCCAAGAATAGTTTGTATTTTCTAACATCACCTTACTAAACAAAGGTTAAATTTTTTCAATCATAAAGTACAGACGATATTTGCCCCTTTCTTCTGCATAGATCTGAAAGGAATTTTTTCACTTCACTTTCCAAAACCAAGTATGTTCTGTAAGCTGAAACCTGAAAAGTTTCATATATTATATAAGCAACTGAGGAAAAACAGATAATTAAGATGGAAGATAAAGCTTTCTCTCTGCATTTGTTACCAAGACTTGGCACTAGATGTGAACGAGATTTATACTAACCTACACACTCTACAAGTGTGATCTGGCGAGCCACCGTTCTTTGCACCAAGAAAGGAAGTCCAGAACCGCTTCCAGATGTGCAGGAATGATCCAATAAATCCTGTTCAAAAGGAAAAGCAGAAGTTTATAACCTATGAGAAACTACATGTTTTCCCCCTGTTTAAATGCACAAAAGTACACTGCTTCACAGAATAGGTTAAGTTAAAGCTCATTGGTATCTCAATGGCTCTGCTGATGCCATTTGATCCCTCAGGATCAAAACATACTGTTGCCATCACTGTACAGATGGACAGAGAATGCTCTTCGCAAGATTTTACCACTTCAAAGAACATCCCATGCATAGAAGAGACTGGTAGGGGAGCCATAACTTATGCATAAGGGTTTTTTTGTTTTTGTTTTTTTAAACACACAACACAACAACAGAGAGCAAACAAATCAAGCATCATTTCATTCTCAGATTTCTTATTCTGCCTCTACCTTTTATTTGGCATTACATTATCATTTTGTTTAATAAATAAATCATTTTGCTTAATACATAAGAGACAATACATTTATTGCCTGTGAACATGGAAGCTCATTCATAGCCTACGAGCTGTCCTCTGCAGTGAAATTCCACCCTTTTTCAGCTCTTTGTTGTCCTCTACTTAGTTTATGCTCTCTCAATTCTGTATAGATCACCTATTTCGAAAAGGTTAATATCAACTTTTTTTTTCCCCAAATTTTCTGTCTTGCAATAATTTGAGCCACCTCACTAAGCAATAAACTTACTTTCTCTGATTTCTCCTATACCCAAGGCCTTCACCCCTATACAGTTAGCAAAAAGAAAAACAGCATTTACTTTTGAATGTTCACACAGACTTTTCCCATTCTTCCAGTTACCTGTAGTTTCTTCCTAGTAAAGATGACTAGAAGGGCACAGCAACACAAATGTGTTTTCCCTAATGAAAGCTAAGGTCATGTCCCAGCCCCACCGATCTGTGGTATCAGATACTCTCAAAATCTATTTTACAACTCCCTATGAATAAATGTGCATTAGAAAGAGACACTCAGAACTTTGAACTTTTTTTATTAATATAAACAGCCTCTAGAAACAGCCACACATGACAGTTTCTAATTCAAATGTTAAGATAGATAAAACCAACACATCCCTGTGACACAACTTGCTTTTTCAACACCTTTTTAATCAGTGGCTTGCACACAATTTGTGCTCAGCTGACCATTTTGACTGAAGCAATATGGGGAGGGGTGTCAGTTTTGCTGAAAAAAAAACCCTATAGAGAGGTGTCTTTTGGGTCCACGTGAGCCGAATGGAGAGGCTACAGGCCACACCTCACGGCACGGGGCTCGCAACCAGGGATGCCTCAGGGGCACCTGGACCGGAGGAGCACCCGTCTGCG